GGGTTAAGTGGTTTTCAGAACCAGACTAAAGACAGCCTGTTGTTTACATGCAGGAAAAACAGTGAGACACTGAACATATTTAAGATGTGACTGTAGAAGTGGCAACAGAGGGAGTTCTACCTCAGTGTTACAGCTGTTTTAATAAAACATAGACACTCTTTTAGCTAATGAGGATGAGATGGCTGCAGGGGAAAAAAGAACATGATACTTTATGGAAAAGAAGTATTTTATATACAGTATTCAATGCTGAAGGGGTCAAAAGCCTAAAATACATAGCTCAAAATATTTACRCAAGAATGTCTTCAACTGAGTTGGCACTGATTTCTAATTTGGGTATAATTTTCACAATTATAAAACACTGGCATGTATATATTGGTTAACGGAAATCTTGGGAGAGAAGTACTGTTCAAGTGTCTCTGAAAAAGGTACTATTAAATATTACCCATAAAAAAGAAAAAAAGACAGAACATGAAAAAGCCATAAGCTTTCAATTTTCTTTTTTRCAATTAATAGATCATTACCTATTTTATTATCTATTGCCTGCAATTTGCATGTTAATAAAATGCAAAACATTTTGTATATAAAYATTAACTACGATTCCTTGATAAAGAGACTTAATATGGTTACTTATTCTCCATTACAGTCTTGAGTTGTCAGTTACTAAGGCAGTCAGATTTTTTGCAAACTCAGTAAAATTAGTGTCAAATTTGTTTGATAAGGAAGTAATTCCAATATCTAGCTATCATAAATTATAATGTCTAGCCATCCAAATAACATAATAGGTTCTTTTCTAATAGAAGCAATGGCTTTAATATAATATTGCTTTTGGCTAGCTGATCAACACCATTTTATGACATTGCACACACATTTAATAATCCAGGAGTTCCCTTTCAGGGAGGAACTTTCTGTAAGGAAAACATTGTGCAGGCTAAGATTTCTTAATTTGCTATCACTTTCTTGTCAGGTCATAGGCAAAAATAATGCTAGCTTTGAAATCCTGACAACAAATGGTACACAGAAATAATGAAAACAAGTACATCATAAAGTAATGGGGATATTGATAGCTGATTTTGTTGTTCTTGTTACCACATAATTTAAGCACTTTTATAAAAAGATTTTCTTTATTTGCCTACATGGAAATAATTTTTTATATTTCTTGTCCAGAGGAAAAATACTGTTGCTCCAAAAGCATGATCCTAGTTTATATTCTATTCTATTTTGCTTCATTTCTGTAGAATGTTGAATACCTCTCTAGAGAGCTGAGATCAAAAAGCCTCAAGCACACAGGAGAACTCTGGTAGCATAATAACTAACTGCACAATAGCTGAAGCACTGTAAGCATTGGTTACTGAGTGCTGTTAACACATCACAATAAACAAGGTCAGTAAACTTAAACTATGTGAAAAAGGCAACATATTTCAACAGGAACACAAGTAGACCACAGAAGTGCTCTCTYAGTTACTCAGCTGTTAGGTGCTTCCATAATAAACAATTAGAATTTGATTGTATTTTACTTCTAAAACCAAAAAATGGCTGATAGCTTTATGGCAAATAAAGCAGAAATGGTTAAAAGATCTAATACAAAGCCCTAGTGCAAGACACTGGAGTGGTGKAAACATCTATGCCCTCACACATGTGCCAGGTCACTTTCTAATTCTTCGGTAAATTTCCACAAACAAGAGTGAAGCTAATGGAACTAAATATGAGCATACATTTCTGTGTAAAGTCAGCCATCCCTCCCTTAAACAACTAAGGAAAGTGGGTTTTGCTTTTCTGGCTGATTTTCCACTGAAGMTTATTAAATAATGGTCATATTTTCTACCTTGTTGACTGAGCTGAAGGGCTAAACCTCCTAGTAACTGGTGATGATAGGCAGYCAGAACATGTAACATTTTGAAGTGCTCCACACAGAGTCATTAAGGAACATCTGCCTATGCTGCTGCTTCTAGAAGAGGAACACACTTGCTTCCCTTTGACATTTCTTTCCCCTAAAGGGGAAAAAGGGTTCATAAATGTGTTTTACCAGCCACTAACTTTTCCTTGCATCTGCACTCTCTTGCTCGGTTAGGACTCACAKTATCCAACATACATACACAAAATTCTTGCCAGACAATTTGACTTTTTTTTACTAACAATCTACTTAACCAGTAACACTGCAATTTAAAATGCACTGCTTGCAACAAGGCTCCCAAATTCACCATATAGAGTCAGATGAAGCCCAAAGGGAAAAAAGTATTTGAGAATAACTCTTATCTAATTAAAAAATACCCCTCCATTGGTATCCAGGAATTTGTTTCTAAGAACTAGTTCATTGCGTAGGTACCTTTCTGATAACCAGATACTGTCACCTTCCTAATTATTCGTRTTAGGCTTGGTTTCAGAACAGCAGTCCAGAACAACAGGTTTGGTTTGGGTTCCACTAGCAGAGGTTTGAAAAGAAGCCTGAATACCATGGATATCTGCAGCATATCGAGTCCTTGTAAGCCCTGTCCAAACTGCCTTTGTTAATGAAAGCTGATCCACTTTCCTCAACACTCTTCTTCAAGAGTTAATTTGAATTTCTCACCATATTTCAAGAAAAAAAGGCTATCCTGAGAAACCRTAAGCATATGAAAATCCTGTAATAGCCAGCAGATATTACTAATCCGTAGCTTGAGAAAGCAGGGAGTGACATCTGAAGTGTCTTACAAAAGTCACCATGCATCTTAAATTCCATGTTATTGCTGAGCAGATACTGAAATATAAAGAACTGGGAAGTGTGAAACAGTATGACACAGGTCCAGTGTCTGATGGAGATGTTTAAACTTAATTTCTGGTACTACTTAATTACTATGACAAAGTAATGCATTCTGCTACCAATCAAATAAAACACAAATACACTAATTTCAAGAGAAATGAGCTACAAAAAAACAGTCTGTGGCCTAAAGCAAACAAAATACTGCTAAAGGTTTGGATTTTTTGCTGCTACAGCCAAAAATGTGCAGAACAGAAAAATTCATGACTGAAGGTATGAAAACGTCCTATATTCTACCTCTTCAAAAACAGAAATAGCATGGCAGTAGAATGGGAGAAGATCTCAGAGTCTCTGTCCAAGTTACYTGTTGGGATTCCCTGTATCAACCAACACCTTAAGATGTAATCAGCACTACACGCAAGTACAGAAATTCATCACCTCACACAGTTTGGTTCTTGTTGATACCTTTACAGACCCATCCTTTGTCTTTGAGAGTAGGAGGCCTCTACTGACTATGTAACAAACAGAATGGAAGTCAAGATCTGTATCTTCTATTTAATTTACACATTTTGTATTCATCTCACCTGGCACAAGTGGATGAGTAATGAGATCATTATCTGCTCATCAATGGAAATCTAAAGTCAAAGAGACAGGAAACTGAAGCTGTGCAACAACACACAGCAGTATTTCATACTACGTTTGAAAGGAAAGTACTATGGGCCATTTAAACTTARAAGGGATTTTATTGTAATTATCCCGAATGTAATATAATCAAGAAAACAGTGCTTTAAAAAGGAGTTCTTAAAATTCCTAGGCCAAAAATAATTTTAACAAATTTCCCATATAGCCCTTTTTCAGCTGATCTGGTGTCAGATTTTGCTTCTTGCATGTTTGCTGTTGGTACAGCATTAGTCTACCCAGAATTCAGAAGCACATGATTTAAATGCCAGTTGCACCATGAATTCTCTATAAGTGTAGTGTTATTGCTGAGAAAACTACTTCTTAAAAGCTACATTCCAAAACAGAATGATTTGCTTTTCAGAAGTACTTGTTTTGAGCTTCAGGTATAAATCTTATTTATTTCAGATGACTGAAAAGTATCAAGAGGGAAAATTCCATTAAAAGTAAAGAAATCAACCCACCTATACTTTAACAGTAGAAAYTTAATGAAAGACATCTGAAAAAAACCACTGCAATAAAATTTTGCAACATATGGGAAAAAAGTAAGGATCTTATTGTGTACAAATACTATTAAACAAAATACAGTCAAAGAACCTGTAAAGTAAGTATTGATTTAGTACAGTAAGTATAATGTATAAAGCAATGTTATTAGAGGTAGCCCTTGTTTATRTATTGATACACATGATGTACATTATCACATACAGTTATGAGATGAAAATGATGGCACTGTAACTAGTAAGCCATTCTAACTTGAATATSTGAATGAATCCTTATCCTTTGACCTCTATTTTTAATGAATTTTTTTTCATTGCTAATATGTCTCTATCAATTGAAGTGAGGTTACAGAACATATAAAAGCTGTATTGGTAAACGAGGGTAGTAAATAGGTTTTTCTCACTGACAAAGATGCAGCATAAGAATAGGTAACCGATAACTGCCATTTCCTGTATATTTTCTCTTATTTCTTAACATGGTGTGGAAAAGACAAAGTAGTTCAGTATTGACTAAAAGTTTTAAGTTCATTATACCACGTAATTTAGTCCTGCCTCTTCTCCAACTCCTGCCTTTTACAAACCTCATTTAAAGTATCTGTATTTACTCACATCAGGAACGATTAGCTGAGAGTCAAAGAGTACTATTGGACTGACTATCACGCGTTGGCTGCAGCAACAGCATTATTTGCAACAATAATACTTGAGAACCTGCAAAACGCAAATTACTTGCAGTCTTCGTAATTCTAAAAGCAAAGCAGATACTGTCAATCGCTCCCAAGAGCTCCCAGACAAACAGCTCCGCGAAGACGCGGGCTCGTTATGGTCGCACGGTAATTAGAGCAGTTCACTGCGAGGCGTCCATCGTCCGCCACAAAGGCAACCCTCAAGAATGGGCTGTAGCCCCCAGGGGAGGGACTGTGTGGGGAGAAGTTTGCACACACCGATGTTCTCGGCAACAGAGCAAAAAGAGAAGACCCGTTTCCCTTCCCTCCTCTCAGACAGGGGTACCAGAGGAGACAATTCCGAGACCCCCGACACCCCCGGCCAGGGCAGCCTCACCTCCCGGGAAAGGATGTAACAGCGGGACTTACCTTAGTGAGCTGGGCAATCTTCTTGCACATTTTCATGTGCATTTCCCGATTGCATTCCTCTGCCGAGCTGCTGCGAGCGGCTTTAGATCCATTGCAAGTCCCGGGCTGATGARTGTTGTTTATGCCAGAGGCCATTAGGCTTGAATTTTAATCACGTCTGTCTGTGTAGGCTCCGGGTAGCGCGATCCCGGCCCCGCTGCTCGCCCCTCCCGGCTGCGCGCACTCACAGCCCCCAGCGCCGGAGGAACTTCAGCCCCGAACAGGACACGCTCCAGCCACCGCCGCTCTCCTTTCTCTGCAGATGTCCCAGTCCTTCAGCAAAACACCCAGGCGAGCAGGCAGAGAACAGCATGTGCAAACATCCTGATTGGGATTTTTTTCCTCCCCTTCTCTTCAAATGGTTGAGCTTCCGCCAGGAGAAGACGCCAGCGGCTGGGTGCTACAAATTCTCCACTGGCGAGGCTGAGCCAGCCYAGAGGCAGGAGCACAGGCATTGCCGAGGATCTGTTGTAGTAGATTGCCTGAAGATTAAATCATGCTGCCTTCTTAACTGCCAAGGATTGCAGAGGTCATCTGAGAAGAGAGTGTTGGCACCTTTCATAAGCTCTGTTGTTTTGGCAGTCCTCCCTAAGCCAGGATGGGCCCATAAGTGATGAAGAAAACCTTAGCTCAGTTTTTGCTGCTGTGCTGGAAGCAGAACGGAGCCAAGGGGCACATGAGCACAGCTGAGCCCAGGAGCTGCGTCCAGGATCCAATCTGCCTGTCTTATCCAAGGAGACTCCATTCCCTTCAGTTACACTAAATGCACTGGAAAGGTGCCTGAAGAAAACTGACAATATTACAGGTTTTTGTTTTTCTGGTTTTTTGTTT